GCGCGGGCGGCCTATGGTTTAGGGGAAGACCGCAATGGTGATGGTCAAGGATAAACACTGAGCTGATTAAAGCCTGAGGCGTTCTAGGACTCGCTTGGCAGGGACGCATGGGTTTCTATAGGAGGTTACAACTACGGGCGTTTTAGCTCGGCTCGATGGTTGTGTACGGTCTGTGAGTGTTCGTACCGTTTGCCATGGAGGTATCGAGTTCTGAGTTCTGGGTTATGACGAGCCGAGAGCTCCAGACTCTTAAGTTTAGGAGTGGTAGTGGTAGTGGTAGTGGTAGTGGTAGTAGTGCAACGGCGGTAGCAGTAGCACCAGCCTTATCATGAGCATCAGCATTAGAATTAGTTAGTACTAGTATGTATTGTTATTCCGGTATTCCTATTCTCATTATTACAAACATTGCCATTCTGATAGTTATTATTAACATCATTATCAGGGACATCATGGTCATGACGATCATATGTTTCGTTATTGTCGTCACTACTGTCCTGTATTGCGATGTATCCTACTATCGGTAGTAGTGAGTAGTGGTACGAATGTCATTAATGTTAGTAGCCGCATGATTAGTAGGCCCAACGGCTCCATGTACCCATATAGTATATACTCAGACCCTAAAGTACCTAGAAAGGAACCCCTTTAAGGCCTAAGTATATACTATATGGGTACATGGAGCCTTTGGGAGGAGTATAGGTCTCCGGCCTGGGGCTCTAAGCCAGATTCTGCCTCCCCGCGGACACCCGCCAAACGTATGACGAAGCTCGACTTATGCCTTATGCCCCATGGTTTAGGTTTTACGTAGGGTTGGGCCTACACCCTGAGGGTCCAAGTACCCAAATAGTAGGGTTTCAAGGTCCAAAAACTATGGATTTTGGGACTTAAAACCTTATTATTTGGGTACTCGGACCCTCTGGGACAGACTCGAAGTCCCCATGGTTTAGGGTTTAGGGTTTAGGGTTTAGGGTTGGGCCTGGAGACCCGAGCTTCCTTCAGCGCGAAGCTTCTCAAGCAAGAACCCATCAAAAACCTTGGCCTCGTTTGCGCAGAATTCCGAGCTCCCGTAGAGGAGCACCCTGCCTTAATTTATTTTGGGCGAGGCAGGTTTCCGAAAACCGCTCAACCCTTGTTATCAAGTGTTGGAGTCTCTGGGTGCAGGCCGCTCCGCACCTAATGCCACTCTGTACCCGTGCGAGAGCCGATATGGAGGACTGCTGCAGGCTGCCTCAAATTTGCCTGAGGTGGCTTAGGGTTTTCGATTTCAAGTACAGGGTTGAAGGTTAGAGTCAGAGCATAGGCCGGAGTTGAGACTCGAGGGTTTGGGGTATAGGGCTTTGGGTTAAAGATTTAGGGTTTAGAGGGTTCATGTGACCGCTAGCAATCATTAGAAGGTTTTGTGGGACGTTACCGGGTCTCCATCGGTTGATAGATGTCATGTTGCTTGGACTTCGAGTGTTGTGCAGGTTTACCGGTTTACAGATGTGACAAAGGGCGCAGGAAAAGCAGGGCCAGGGAAGGGGCCGGAGGGAGGGGAGAGGCAGGCAAGGCAGGGCAGGATGGCAGGATGGCAGGGCTTGGGCAGGGCAGGGAGGTGGGCAGGCGGGCGGGCGGGCGCGTTCATGGGACCCTAATTTTGAGAACTACCCTTATGAGTAAGGTAACTATACAGGTATAGCCCAGGTATAGCTAGTGTCCAAGTTTGTTTCTAGCTGCCAAAACATCTCCTCACTGGGTCTAAGGGCCAGTTGTTGGAGTTTGGGGCGTCGGGGCTCGGGGGTCGGCATTGAGGGGTTTCGCGGCCGTTTAGGGTCTTACGGTGGCTTAGGGGTTTAGTAGGGTTTAGGGTTCAATCCTACACTCCTAAACCCTTTTATGGCGACGCAGGAGCTTGTGCAATGTTGCCAGAAGCTTGAAGATCGGCAGCGCCGTCTGCAACAGGTGGGGAAAGCTCGTCCGCATCTTCGCTGTATGATGAGTTCCTGGGTTCGTTTCATCGGGTTCCTTTAATCACGGGCTCTGTTCCATGTGGGGTTTAGGGTTTTTACGGGTCCTATTTACAAGGGTTTTGTTTTGCAAGGGGCTCAAGGCAACCCTTGAACTCGAGTCGAATTTATGGGAGCTTCACAACCTACCAACACGGCACAGACAGAAAAAGCGGTCTAGATATCATAGAAACATAATGTTTGAAAAAATCAATATGTTTCAACCTAAATTCCTGATTCTAGTTGTAGGGGCGGCGAGCGAGACAGAGAGAGAGAGAGAGAGAGAGAGAAAGACAATTTGAAGCAGGTAGCGCCGCAGTGCGGAGTACCACTCCTGAGCGAAGCAGATGGAAGCTGGGCTGCGCAAGCGGCTGTACAGATGAAGCTGTACGCTTGAGGGTTCAGGGATTCGGAGCCGCAGTCTGGTATGAAAGGTGCCCTCGTTTGGGAGGTAGGTCGTTTCAAGAAGGCTTTGGATACCATGACCCAAAATCATGTTTGTGGGGGAGGTGGTTCCCTACTTAGGTCCTTAAATTTGAAACACGAATCCCCGAAACGCTGACTTCTAAACCCAACGAACCCCCCCACGGCAAAAAGCCCTCATGGAGTTCTAGAAATCCTTCGCGGCAAATTCATATCGCCCTAGCTGCCTGGAGTTACCCTATGCCTTTGAACCCTAAACCGATAAGCCCTAAACCCTAAACCCCCAAACCCCTAAACCCTACCAAACCCTCTACCAAACCCTACCAAACCCTACCAAAACCCTAAACCCTAAGCCGATAAGCCCTACATCTCCCCCAAGCCAGAGAGCCCAATACCCCTTAATTAAGGAACATACCTTAAATCACAATATTAAGGCCCCTATAATTTAAGGCATATTCCTTAATTAAGGGGTATTGGGCTCTCTGGGAAGCCGCCTTGAAGCCGAGCAGCCGAGGACCCGGGAATCCAGAAGCCTCCGTCACCTCGCGGAAAGGCCGGCGTCCTCTGAGTGAACCCGAAATTTAGGGTTTAGGGCTTTGGGGTTTAGGGGTTTAGGGCTTAGGGTTTAGGGTTTAGGGGTTTAGGGGTTTAGGGTTTAGTTGAAACCCTGCACCCTAAGGCCAAATTAAGCCCTACCTATAGTCTCCATTGTAGTTCCTTTTTTTGGTTTAACCAATTCTATATTAAGGATCCCAAAAGTTTCAACCCCCAAAAAAGGAACTACAATGGAGACTTTCGGTAAGCCCCAAATCCCATTCAAACCCAAGACCTTCAAACCGAGACCCTGTTAGAAAAGCCCTAAGGCCTAAACCACTCAGGTGCGAACAGCAGTCGGAGAGCCGTGAGCAGCGAGACGTTGGACCGAAGCGGCAGCGGTGGCCCGGACCTTCGTGGTTTAGGGTTTAGGGTTTGGTTTCAAGGGGACCTTTTTACGACTCAGGCCCCGATTTTCTGCAGCGGTTTCAGCTCCTGGAAGTATGAGTTTCAAGGGCTTTGTAGGGGGTTTGGTACTCATGGAGCTTCGTGATGTGTTTACACGGTTTCATTTTCGGGCTTTATATCTGGCTTGTACGAGTTCTGGAGGATATTTAGTTCTGTCAACCCTTGCCGAAATCCTGAAGCCATCCGAAGCCCTAAACCCCACACCCTGAACCCCAACCTGCTTCTGCCGAGGGCCTTTCGGCGACATGCTTGGGCAACAGAGGCCGGGTCCCTGCACCAGCTGGCTCCAAAAGGCATTTGAGAGCTTGAGAAAAAGTGACCCTAATGTAGATCCTAACCACCCTTGAGCAGTACAAAATCACAATCATGAGGACCCCTTTTAAAAGGTTCCTGGGTTTCTCTTTGCAGTTTCGGTGGTTTGAGCTGCAAGGGCTGCAGGGTACGAGGGCTTGGGGGTTTGATGCTTCGGTGTTTCCCAGTTGTCGCAAAACTCCAGACCCAAGTGAATCCCTTTACAGTCTACCTGGTTCCTTTTTGGTGTTTCCCATCTACATGGAGACTCTAGGTATTGCAAATTAACCCAGAACCCGAGTGCCCCCACTCTGGAATCCATAAAAATTGTCGCCTCTTGCAACCTGACCAAAACCGTTGCTAAGAGGGAAGGCAAAGTGACTTTGCCCGGGAGAGTAATACCTACCCCTGGTCGCTCGGCTGCAGGACTCGATTGTAGAATTTCAGAGTGACTTTTGACTCGCATTGTACCTTGCATTTCCGGGAACTTCTGAGATTCAGGGTTTAGGGTTTAGGGGCTTAGGGGTTTAGGATTTATAGGGTTTAGGGTTATAGGGTATTCCAAGCCAAACCCTTGAAGCACTGAAGCCGTTCAGGCCCAAACCTCAAACCGCGGGCCCCAAAGCAGTAAAGCCCTAAGCCGTACAGCCCTCAAGCACTACGGCTCTAAAGCGTTAAACCCAAAAGCCCTGAACCCTAAAATCCGCAAGCCCTAAACCCCTAAATCCCTCAAGCCCTAAATCCTGGCACGTCGCAGCACCCAACCTTCAGGCAGTCGCAGCGACTGCAGCGATCGCCTTACAGCGCAGAAACCCTCGGGGCCAGGCCGGTCCATGCGACCCACTCCACGCCCAGAATGATTAGAAGAGTGATGTAATATAGCAAGACAAATATAATGTAAAAAAGAAGAATCATAAGAATAATATAATATAACAGGAGGAAGAAGAATAACAAGAAGAAGAAGAAGAAAATAAACACGAATAGTAATAGTAATGATGATAATAAGAATAACAGTAATAATGATTATTATTCTGTATAGTATAGGAGGAGGCAGAAGAATAAGAATAATAACAAGATGAAGAAGAAGAATAATTATAACAAAAGAAGAATACGAATCGTACGAATAATGATGGAAGTGCTGAGGGTAAGGACCCCAAACATGTAGGGTTTAGGAAGGTTTAGGGCTTAGTAAGTCCGTAAGGTCTAGGGCTTTTAGGGTCTAATTGTTTAGGACTTTCGGGTCTAAGGTTTATAGGGTTCAGGGGACGCCTTGAGCCGCCAACCCAAACCGGAAACCCTAAACCCTAAACCTAAGAAACCCTAAACCCTAAACCTAAGAAGCTCTAAACCCCTAAACCCTAAGCTAAACCCAAACCGGAAACCCACCCCTGGCCCATTTGTCTGCAGTGTGGGGGGTTTAGGGTTTACAGAGGAGGTTTAGGGTCATAAGGGATCTATCAAGTTCCTATAAGGGATCTATAAGGGCACTATAAGGGTTTAGGGTTTACATGGGAGGTTTAGGGTGATGAGTTCCGATCATAAGGGATCTATAAGGGTACCATATAGGTTCCTGTAAGGGATCTAGAAGGGTGCTATAGGGGTTTAGGATCATACGCGATCTCTAAGGGTACTAGAAGGTTCCTATAAGGGATCTATAAGGGTACTATAAGGGTTTAGGGTCTGAGTCTGAGGTTTAGGCTTTAGGCTTTAGGGGTCATCAGCAGGATGGTCCTGGTTAGAGCTTGTTGGATCAGGGGACCTAGCCCGGTTCATCAGATAACTATGACAGTGCATTACAGTTTTGTGAAGATACGAGCGGATATATTCATTTCAGCTGGTAAACCCCGAACCCCTGAACCCCCAAACCCCTAAACCCCTAAACCCTAAACCCCTAAAGCCCTAAACCCCTAAACCCGAAGCCCTTAGAGTATCTTGTAGATCCCTTATAGGAACCTGAAAGAACCCTTATGCACCCCCTATCCCTTAAACCTAAACACTAAACCTTGCTAAATGGCATCCCCGAATCCTTCAAGTCGGTGCCTCCAAAGGACTCGCGGCACGAGGGGCCCGTGTGCAATATCGCCGGCCTTAGTGCAAAATTCTGTTGAACATACATCCCTTAAAGCCCGACGGGGTGAGTCGGCCAGAATATGCAGATCCAGGCTGCGTTTGATCCGGCTTCACGTCTGGCTTCGGGTTATCTTCACTGGCCGTGGCACGAGGGGTTCACGGTGTAAGTAGGGTATTATAGCTGCAGTATGGTATACCTATAGTCTCCATTGTAGTTCCATGTGGTTCCTTTTTTTGGTTAACCAAATTGATATTATAGGATCCTAACCGTAAAAGTGGTTAGCCAAAATAGGGCCTACAAGTGGAGACTTTAGTTAGGTAACTCTAAACCGCAAACTCCGGTTGAGTCCAAAGCCGAAGCCGAACTGTAAAGGTCAGCGCGCTCTTCGGCAACGGGCACTCCAGGAGATTTTTGGGGGTGTTAGATGGGGTCTCCAAAAGGTAACAGATTGAAATCTGGGCAAAGGGTAGTCTTGAGGGGATGCTCGGTCGGGGCACTTGCTTCATAGACTGGCATAGACACATGGGGGATTCAGAAGACAGAAGACCCGAAGAAAGTTGCGTATGGTGAGTACCCTTAGAATACTACGGGCCCCTTAGGCATTTCAGGGCACTCGACCTTGGGGCTCGGCGATTTTCGGGTTAAAGGGGTTCAGAGTTTAGGGTTCATTTTATAAAAGCCTAGAGAGTTTCCAACACTATTTTTTTGGGGGGGGTTCCTTACTATAGTTCAATTATCATATACCCCAAAACCGTAGTCGAATTGTTGAGGCCCTTGCATTTCTGTTTATGAGGTGGTTTCTCTAGATGAGGGGTCTCGCCAAGGGTCTGCATGATAACACTGACGCCTTAAAAAGACGATGAGGAAAGGTGTTACTCTACCTCAGAGAGCTGCCCACATAAACGTTGCCCCTTCATGATTTACAGAGTGTTACGGAAGCACCGTCTCTGTTCGACTCTGGGCAGACACCTCTTTCTTCAAGAAATAGCATTACCCTAAGGGTCCACATGCGTAGTTCTCTGATATAGGGTCCCTTTTAAGGTCTTTTTTTGGTAATGGGGGGTTGATATGTGTGGGACGTAAACGTGGAACCTAATCTGGAGAGCTACCCGCGTATCCAAAGAGTAGGGTTTGGGGTCCCAAGAACTCTTCTTTGAATGGTGTTTTGGAATTTTAGACCGAGGAACCCACCTACACAAGCGGGGACGCTTCGCGCTGGCCGTCAGCAGAAGCAGTCTGCTCGACCTATGCCTGGGTGATGGCTTCTCCAGAAGCTTACGACAGGTTCTGCCGCCTGATCGAAGTTCTCGCCTGCACATCCAAAACATCTGGAAACCAACCCGGCGACTGAGTACAAGAGCTTCAAGGATAGGCTGTTGCTTGAACCTTTCACTCGACCGCACCCTAAACCCGTGGACCCCGGGAGTGGCTTGGGCTTATCCATGAGCCGAATTGGCCCCTTCCCACACCCCTGAAGCTGATCCGGGAGATCGCGTTCGCACCCTCTCTGATCCTGTTCAGGGGATCCTGCTGGTGTCAATGCCGGAGCCCTTATGAGGCAGCCCTGAAGGGAACCCTGAAAGCAGCCCTTGAGCCCTTTATTTGGGTACTTCTTTGAACGAGCGTCCGCTTTAGGTCCCCCAAGATATGACGTGCGCAGGCGCCTCCCCACGTGCGCCCCGGCTTGGTGGGGGGGATCACTTGCTGCCTGTAAGTGCAACACCCCAGCACAAATCCTGATCTTCGAATTCAGCAAGCCCACTTAAAACCCTTAACCCCTTAACCCCTAGACCCTGAACAAAGGACTTCCACTGAGTTAGGGAAGTCAACAAAGGAGCCGAAACCCTAAACAAGGATTTATAGGACTCTTTAGGATTTAGGGTGTGGGGTCCGAAGGGGTAGGGTCCTAAACCCTAAACCGAAAACCCAAGCCTAAAACCCTAAGCGAACCCTAAACCTTAAACCCTATATAAAACCCTAAAACCCAACAGCCCAAACCCTAAAGAAAACCCTGAAACCCAAATCCTAAACCCTAAAAACAAGCCTTAAACCCTAAGAGAAGTGGGGGTTTCCGAAAATAGGGAACCCTAATATGGTACCCTAAAATAGTAGGATCCTTGTTATAAGGACCCCCAAAATATAAGGTACCCCCTAATTTTCGGAAAGTCCTAAACCCTAAACCCCAAACCCTAAACCCAAAACCCTAAACACCTAAACCCTAAACCCTAAATCCTAAACCCCAAATCCTGACCTTAAACCCTAAACCCAAAACCCGAAACCCAAAACCTTAAACCCTAAACCCCAAGTTTCGGAAAGTCCCACGTGGGAAAAAGGAGCCTGGCGGCCGACCTTCGCCTCTCCGTCTGCTTCCACGCTCGGCGCAGGGCTGCGGGACCCCTGCCTTTGGGGGGATTTCTTAAGGTTTCGGGGGTTAGGGCTTTCTTAGGGTTTAGGGGTTAGGGTTTTTTTTCGGGTTGAGGGCTCAGGGTTTAGGGGTTTGGGGGGTTTAGGGGTTAGGGTTTGGGGTTTAGGAGTTTAGGGTTTAGGGTGTAGGGTGTAGGGTGTTTAGGGTTTAGGAGTTTAGGGTGCCTTAAGCCCTAAACTACCTGTGACGCAGTGTCGTCTCACGAGTTGTCGCTTGAGCTTAGGCCCGGGGATGGGGGTGAGGATTAGGGTTTGGGGGCTTAGGGTTTAGGGTATATCATCCAGGACCCTCCTTGTACCTTCAAATAGGGGTATATGGTCCCAAATAATGGGTATTTAGAGTCTAATGGAAGGTGGATGGCGGGTTTAGGATCTTGGCCAATGGATGTACGAAGAAGAGAAGGATGACTGAAGCCAAATCATGCTGCTGAAGTGGGAACCAGAACGGCAAATACTGAGTTTAGCAAACACTCGTCGGTGCTGCTAGTACTGCTGCTATCACCTCCGACCGAGACATCAGAAACCCGAAGCATAAAGGTGTGTCCTAAAAGCGGCTCGCAGAACCCTTGAGCCCAAAGCCCGAATCCTGCAAACTGCCTAAACCTTGACGAGGGTAACCCCCAAACCCAAGCTTTGTAGGGCATGTATTCGGCAAAAAACCTCGACAATGTAACCGAGAAACCTAAGTATTAAAACAGAAATCAATCGTGGTGGAGTGGCGTCTAGGTGAGCTCAAGACATGTTCTTTTCTTTTTTGGAAGGCAGGGGCCCGGGTTCTCAGAGCATCTGGTTGGCTTCCTTCCTTTTTGGGTTGGGTTTTGGGTTTTTGGTTTTGGGTTTTGGGTCCTTGTCTGGCATCCCCGAAAACGAGCCGGGGAGGAGGTGGACAGATATACCATGCACAGCGATGATGGGCAGCCGGAACAGGCCCCGGGTGTAATGAGTTAGTGTGTCCCAGCAATGATGTACAAACAAAAGGGCCTACCTTATCTGGGTTCTTGCTAAGGGATTTCATCTAAGTTGCCATAATGGGGATCTATAGTAAACAATATGGTTTCTTTATTAAATCCCCTAACATGAACCCAGTTTTGCGAGGTTCATGTATGAGACGAAGCCTATATATATATGATTTGGGGGGTTCTCACGCTTGGAGACTCGGCGTCTTTCAGGCATTGCCGGGACTTCTGCGGGGATTTTAGCTCACGAAACAATAGACTCTCTGTCTGGTCATTTTGAGGCTGTGCTCGGGACTTTGTAGCTTATATCCGACGACCCCCCCCCCCGGCCGCAAGACCATAAGACATGGTAAACCACCAAGGAAGCCTATACTGGAGACGGATAGTAAGTATACCGGCGAGTTGGAGCTTAAATCGCCTGTCCATCCCCATGCTAAGCCTCGAACCCCTGACGCGCCACAGCTACGCCGTGAGCCCTGGATCTTGACTCTTGTTGTGGGGGATTTGGGGTTTAGGGTTTAGGGTTTTGTTTAGGGTTTGGGGCTTCGGGTTTCCGGCATAGGCTGGGGGCTTACAGGACTCTAAATACGTATGCCCCTCCACGTGTGGTCCTTTAGCTAGCACTTTGGATTCTAAGCTGAGCCCTAAACCCTAACCCGTAAACCGCAGTGCCCCCCTACACCCTCAACCGCTAAGCCGTAGTACTCCAAGCAGCCACAAGCAGCTCGTAGGGATTGTCTTCTTTGACTAGGATTTCTTTGAGAGGGCTTTCTTGGTTGCGCTTGCTTTTAAATTCAAATACGAAAAGCTAAGGCGTAAGTACCCGCCTATATGTGCTTTTGAGTTTACATCAGGAGCCGTCAACCCTGGACCCTAAACTGCGAACCCCCCCGCATGGCCCGGTGTCTGGAGTGGCGCCATGTCGCGAGCGCAGAGTCAAAGAGTTTTGCTGACACTGAATCCCAAGGAGGTGGGCTGGGTCCTGTTTTCGCTATCCGCTTAGGGTTTAGGGCATCGGGTTGTCTTCTTCTTCCCATTTCCTCGTCTCATGATTATGAAGTTTGTCAAAGGCTATAGGCTATTGCTCTTCTTAACTATCAGGTCATGCCTATTGCACAGCTGTTTGTTGTGACTGCCGTGAGAAGATACCAGAATCATTACTGTTGATACTGCCGATGCTGTCACCATCGAGAGTTCTGTTCGTTCTCTTGCATTGAGGCAAGTATTGTGGCCGTTGCTAGCGCTGTTGTTTCCACAATAGACATGGCACATCACCGATTACATATACATCTTCTCGCAATAAGCAAGCTGTCGTGGTCATTCGAACTATAGAGCGGCAGCGCAAGCAGCAAAGCCACACTCCCAAAAACCATCAACAAGGAACAGAAAGGCGATTTCGACGACTACGACGACCGTGACTACGTTCACGACCACGCGACCACCACCACCAGCACCACCACCACCACCACCACCACCATGACTAGCACTGTGACGACAATCACAGTGTGACGGCATTGGCAACAGCAAAGAACAAAGCTAACAAGGCTTCAGCAACGAGAACCACAATACAAACATCAATGCCACAAATGCAGGCAAGAGCGAAAAAGTCCAATAACACTAACAGGCTGCAGAAGCTCACACGAGCAGCCGTCGCTGCTACCGCTGCCGCTGCTGCTGCTGCTGCTGCTGCTGCTGCTGGTGTTGTTTCCTCTGAGGCTTGCGTGACGAGCCACTCATGACCTCGGCCTTAAAACTATCATGAACATCACCCGCCACCACTCCGAGCTCTACCACTACGACGAAGACGACAACTACGACTAAGTTATGTACTACTAATTACTACTACTAGTGTAGCTACTCCTTCTAATTACTACTGCTGTGGCTATTCCTGCCGCTACCTATTGCTCTTTGCTTGACAAACCCTGGCAAGGCCTTAGCAGCCGTCCAAGCAAGCACCCGCGCAGCATGCTGGCAGCAGTCGCTGGCAGCCTTGCGCCAGACTTCTTCACCGCCAGTCGTCCTCTTCAATGCTTGCGCAGCCAGCTGCTCCAAAGGAAGGCAATGGGGGGCAGCCATCCTTCTGGCCGAAGAGATACACTGTCTAGGCTTAGAAGCAACTGTTGTTACTTGCAACACTCGCATCAAAGCAGCCGGCTCTGGGGAGATGAATTGGGCCAGCACTCTGGATTTTCTCCGAGCTGCTCAGAAGCAGTCCCTGAGAAGCGATGCCGTCACCTGGAACTCAGCTGCAGATGCCTGCACTGGGCAAGGCGCCCCTGGTGTGTGGCCCCAGGCTTTGCAACTCCTAGAAGGACTGAGCTGGAGGGGCTTGGAGACCGACGGAGTCACTGCGACGCTTCGCATAAAGAGTGCGTCGTGGCCAGCGGCGATGCTGCAGCTCTCTCACCCGGCTGAGAGCTTCTCTGGAAAGGCGGCGAAAGTAGGCGTCAGCGCAGGGCTATCGTCGCTGGCATTGGGCACGGCTTGGAGCTACGGCGTGTCACTACTGCACACGATGCGCAATCGCGCCGTGGAGTTGGACCAAATGGCCCTCACCGCAGCCATTGCTCTTTACTCCGGTGAAGAGGCATCGGATGCTTGGATGGGTGCTCTGAGGCTGTTGGGGAATATTCATGCACCTGGCCTCGACCAAGGGACTTCAAGAAAAGCTGCTCGAGTGGATAAGGTGGCTATCAGTTCGGCCATGACGGTCTGCACCAACCATCAGCTCTGGGAGCGTGCTCTCTCGCTCTTTGAGGCCCTTCTGGAGGCTCGCCGCGCAGATGTCGTCAGTTTCGGAAGTGCCATTTCTGCGGCAGCCTCGGGCCGGCTGTGGGAGTTGGCTCTACACCTCCACGAGGAGATGCCCAAAATGCAGCTGGCACCAAACCAGGTCACCTTTAATGCCGTCATCGATGCTTGCGAGCAGGGCCTGCAGTGGGAAGTGGCAGTGTCCATGATGCCAAGCATGAAGCTGCTTCGGATAACGCCGGACGTTGTAAGCTACACCTCGACGATTTCTGCATGTGGCCAGGCACAGCGCTGGCTAGATGCGATCCTGAGTCCTTGTTATAATCTCAGTTTCCACACCGGGGAACAATAGTAAATAATGAGGTTTCCTTATTATTGTAACTTATAACCCTAAACCCTAAGCCCTCAAAAAAAAGAGCAAACCGAAACCCTCTTTATTGTAACTTATGATGAATTACTTAAGGGAGAACCCAGGATTCACCTGCTGGGCGAGGCCCTGCATCTGCGTCTGCGGACCAACATCATGTCCCTGAGCTCGGCGATCAGCGCCTGGCTTCTTGTTAAGGGTTTTAAGTTAAGTTACCATGATAGGCTTTTATTTCAAATTAAGTTACCATAAGAGGGTTTAGGGTTTAGGGTACGTTATAAGTTACAATAACAAGGAAGCCGTATTATTTCCTATAGATCCCTGTTATGGTAACTTCAGTTAAACTCCTTAACAGGTGCATGTGAAAAAGCCGGGCAATGGCAGGCAGCACTTCAACTCCTGGGCAAGGTCCGAGACTTGAGGTTAGAGCCGAGCACAATCACGTGCAA